TACAGTATCGGGCAATGAATTCCACATAGAAGTTGTATAAGGGAAAAAAGATTTTTCTGCACGTACAGACTTTAAGTGCAGCTGTTTCAACTCAGGTCGATTGCGAAGCGAATAAGGAACTGAATCGTTTTTTTTAATATGTGCGCGCAAATATTCGGGCGTATCGCCCGATAATATGTCTCTGAACAGAATAAGTTTATTCATGTCAAACGTTATCTTCAGATCAGGCCAGCCTAGTATATCTAAAACTTTTTCTCTACTTGATAAGTACATGGATCCAGAAACCAGCAGAGCTGCACGATATTGAAGCTGGAAAAGCCGTTTCAATACTAGCTCAGGTTCACCTGAGTAGATAACACTGCCATATGTCAATAATGAATACATAAACGATTTATGTAATTGATCAAGAACCGGCGTTAAAAAACTGCACTTAAATTTGCTTATAGCTCCTAGAATTAAGTTACATTTTCTGATGATAAAAGAAATATGTTTTCTCCAAGAAAGCGATGAGGAGAACCACAAGCCTAAGTGTTTATGTTCCTGAACGAGATCCAAGGTATAACCTCCGAACATTAATGACCCTACAGATAGTCTGATAGAGAAACTCATCGTTACACATTTTGGAAGATTTAAAGGTAAGAGCCATCTTAAGGACAAAATAGTCGTCACGGTTGTTCAATACTAAATATGTTGATGTGACAACATGGCAATCAGTAATTGTATCAAGTAGAAAAAAATGACAGAACTTACACCTTCACTTTTATAGAATTATACTTCTCTCTCTCTCTCTCCAAAGTGCACGGGCAAGTGGACATTTCGCCGCCAAGGTGAACTGTCATTTTTTGGCGAAATGTTCATGTGAATGCATACTATAGAGGGAGAGAAGTATAATTCTATAAAAAAGTAAACAATTAAAAAGTATGCAATCTCAATTGGATTTTGTCGGTTTTTTGTTACAGTTATGTAAATTCTCAGATGGATGAATTGTCGTTGATTCGCAAGACTTCAATTGGGAAACTATCTTAATACTCGAGTACTCAAAAGTTATAGTCCTGAATGAAAACTAGCAACCACTTGAGATCACTGGACAGAGTCATTTAAAACATATGTCAATAAATCGAAATATTTATTTATCACCTGATTATACAACGAAAAATAGTGTTTGAGACAAAAGTTCAGAAAAAAAGAAGTGCAAGAAAAACTATAAGTGTTCTAATCGATCACTGCCAAACGAAAATATTGATTCTTTAAAATTAAGAACGAGACCATTCCATTGAAAAATTAAACCAAGACCAATGCTATTTGCTGGTTCGAATGTATGTGGTGTTGATTGCCATGGAATGAATTTACCTTGTGTTTTAATATAGTCATTTTCGGCACCATTTTTCAGAAGTACTTTTTTATCATATAAAATTGTTCTTGCTTTTTTACAAAAATATAAATAATGACCTGCACCGGTATCGACCAAAAATGATAATGGTAAATATTCTTTTTCACTTAATTTGACACTAAGTCTAGCAATTAATCGATGATGAAGTCCACCACAATGCATAATACCTTCAAATGGAATTGGCTTATCAGATATAATATAATCTTTTGGATGGCATAGTTCTTCAGTATAATAATCAGGATAGTCGTGTGGTCCGATTTTTAAAATATCACCGTCGTCAAGGATCAATAATATGCTTGATTTATCTACAAGAGGCAGATGTAGTTTCTTCTCAATTAATGTATTTTCTCTACGTGCAGTTGACTCAGAAAGCATTAATTTAGATGAATTGTGCATACTTACTTGACAAGGCTTCTGAGGATCTCAGATATTAAATTCATTTTGAGTAGAAAAGTGTCTCATAAGCTTAACTCTGGACTTACGGAACAGAAGTAAAAGGACCTGTTGCAATAAGGACACTTTCCATTTCACATATTTTTAAACTTCTAAATAGCCACAAAAATTCGCCATTGAATTCTGAGCAATGTGAGATAGACAGATTTCCGGTAGACACCTTCCC